CCCTATTGGAGATTTTGCGCACTCTATCGTTCGCCTTCCGCTTCTTCTCGGCGTTCTTCTGACTTGCCTGCTCGCCTCCCCCGCTCGGTCCTTTCTGCGCCTCCATCGCCCTCGCCTCTTGTCTCCTTACCTTCCCTGTTTCTATCATGTACGCGATGCAAACCCTTCATCCAAACTTCCTTACGTAGTTCGACAGCTTCTCCATGTCAACCCCCAAGCACTCTTGGCTGTCTCCCTTGGTCAAATTCACCCGGAAGTGTTCATGCTCTCTGCCTACTTGTCCCCTTGCTAGGCAGTGCAGTCCCTCCCTGTCACAACAGTTCTTCAACTCTATCCTCGTTATGTCCCTTGGAATCCCAAACAGCAGCAGCTCCAACTTGTCTCCCTTCCACAGTTTCGGCTTCCATCCTCCCGGCTTCTTCACCATCTTCATGATCTCTACGGCAACTGGACCGTGGCCACTTGTTTTTCGTGTTTGGGACGGGTGGGGGGTTGTTTTCGAGAATGGAGGCCTACAACACTACGGGTGGACGGGATGCGCTCTATTCCTCCTTCCTAGCTATGAGAGTCTCTCTGGACCGTTAGCTACCCTGTTCATGGATCACTTGAGTAATCATAGCAGTGCGGCTTTCCTGCACAACGCGTCCATTGCAAGAGGGGTCCTCAAGGGGCCGCCGCCATGCGTCGAAACGAGGTACAGAAAGATAAGAAAAAAGAGAAACCGCAGTGCGCCAAAGTGGTCGAAAAAAACTGACTTCAGCGTGACGCCATCCACAAGAAAATTGACGTGATACAAACGCCGTGCGTCGAACGTCCAACGCTACATTTGACAAGACAGGGGGCATAAGATAACGAGTACATGTGCAGCAGTTGCGGCTACTGCTGTACCGTGTACGAGAGATTGCCCAAGATTTGAAGAAAGAGAGAAAGGGCTAAGGCGGCTTGCCCCGGCCATGAGAACTACAACAGTATTTCAACAAGAAATAATTCGGACAAAGATTGTTGCTTATCTCAACCCTCTCCGTAGACGCTATTGCTTAACCCCGTCTCTGGTCCCTTGACCTCTCCCCTCCTGACGACAACAGCAGCACAGCAGTTCTACGAACATGATACTTATAGAAAGAAACAATTTTAGCTTATCCCGACCCTCTTATATACACCCGCAGCCGCTCCTGCGCCCCGTCCCTCTCCCCCGGACCCCTCCTCTCCTCACCGCAACACAAGTAAAGTATTTACTACAAGTCCAACATAGTACAGAAAAAAGCATAATCCCGACCCTCTCGTAAAAACCGTCGCCGGTATGTACTGCTCTACCCCGTCCCTCACCCCCCCCGCTCCTTCCTTCCCATCCTCACCTCTGAAAACATCGACGCCGTGCTGCCGGGAACCATCGCGAAAACGTTTTCCTTCGCTTCTCCGTCAAGCCCCCAACTCTCACCACCCGACCCCACTCCGTCGCCCCCGCCCAAAAGCGATCGCCCCTCTCCCCCCACGCCCTCCCCGCCGAAGTAGTCGTGCTTAACGCTGTTCCCTCTGGCCGAAAAGTCGTCGCGCACAGCGGCGGTGCGTCCCCCCAGCCCTTTCTCCGTCGAGTCGAACGAGTGCCCCCACCGAGTGCTGCCGTGGCCGCTTGAGCCACGCTCTCCATTGACGCCATTGGGGGGAGTTTTGCGGCCATTGGGTATGCTACCATGCCCACCGCCGTCGTCCCCGCTCACGGTGCAGCCTGCAGCGCCATTCCCTCCCTCCTTGCTGTAGTGGAAATCCGGGTCGGATGGATTCGGTCTCCTGGGCGCACGCTCCTTCTCCGCGCTTGTCAGGGGCCAAGACCCAACCCCTCTGGCATGGTAGATGGGCAGACGGTAAAAAGGATGCTCCGTACCATTAAGTTTCGCGTGCTTGAAAGGGAGAGAGAGAGAGAGCATTGGAGTACATCGGACGGACGCTTGTGGAGCCACGCCACGATCTCGGAATAAAGGCAAGAAACCGTCAGAGTGCGAGATGCGATGTCCTGTCAATGAACCCAAGAGCACCAGCCTTGGGACAAGCAAGCAACAGCGACAAAACACGCCGGCATCGTCGACTCGACTCACATCCATCGCGCATCTACGGCATAGTCGTCTTCCCTGGCACCACCCCCCATCCCGTCCTGCCTCGGGTTAACATTCCCTCTTGATGATTCCTCCTCCTTCCGCCCCTTAAGCACCATCGTTACGTACACTCCGTACAAGGCGAGGTAGCAAGCAGCCAGCCACAGCTGACAGCGGGAAAGGAGCGAATTGTGGTATCCAGAAAGCGGCGGCGGCGGCGGGGGTGGGTGGGGGCAGGGACACGTTTGAGCGTCTGGTATGCTCCCTCGGAGCCATTCGCTCCGCAAAGTATTGACGTGATACACTGAAAACGTTTTCGTTCTGCAGGGGTGGGACGCGTAGTTTAAGCCACGACGATGCCTAGCAACAGCATGCAAGCGCACGGCGGTTTTGAGGCGCCACCACCCTTCTTGCCTCTTCCGCCAGTGATGTAGACTGGTGGCTTCTCAACGCCCCCTGGCATGACACCCGACACGTAGAACACCCCTCAAAATCACAGGCATGGACACTTTACAGCTATAAAAAGCAACCTCTACGCATGAAAAAAATGTCGTCCAGATGTTCGATTTATACAGTGCGTCGAGACGTCGACAGCACCATCATCCGTATACCCCAAAAACATTTCACGATCCGGGGAAAAACATCAGAGGGGGGGACCGAAATTTCAACATCCTCACAACCGACGTACGCAACATCCACCAACCTTCCGTGAAACTACATACAGTAGTGGTCCCGGTACGGTACGGTGTACGGTAGGTGCCAGCCCCTTGAAACGGTAAAATGGCGGGCAACCGGCACTATTTAGAGTATGAAACAATGTGGATACTCCACGTGTGCCAGGCGATTTCACCGGCAGTGTAACGGGCAACGGAATTGTAGAGGGACAACTACAATACTGTAACAATTTGCGAGCCAACCCAGCTACGCGTGCACCATGACAACCCGACGACAAATTCATTCAGTGCGGCACACCCTCGCCAAGACCTCACCGGTACTTCGCCGAAGCAGTCCGAGATGACGACGAGCACCAGCGCCAACACCAGGAACACCACGTCCCGCGTGAAAGGTACTGGGGGAACGCCGGTTGGCTTGATGTACACCACGCTGCCAACGATGAGGGTCACCGTCGAAATGGCTGAAACAAACAAACAAGAACAATATACATATATATACATACGCGCGGCATACACACAGCGGCGCGCGGGGTAATATTCGTCGGTTGGCAGGGTACAGTAACGCCAGCAACGCGCCATTGACGAACTGGCACAACGGAGTACGCGCACGCCCGTGCACGCGAAAAGCTCGTGCGTGCAGCGGCGGCGTCTTCTTGCTGGGATACATGCACCTGCACTCGCACTTGCACTTGCACCCGGGGGCTTTAATCCTGCCCCTATAGTCTAATTTCTTCACTTCGTCGGCATGTGGGCAACTAACTATTCTGAGATTTACTACACGGCGGCCATGCACTTGCAGCGCGTATCCGGACGACGCCTTTTGCCACCAGCAGGTTGAAACTCCACCACGACCCACCACAGGCCAAATAATTCAACTGCCAACCTAGCCATGTGTGCCCGTTTCTGGATTCACCCCGACCGCTGATTTTGGACAATAAAAACATGTACTCCAGTACATGTATGACCATCAATGAGCCTCAGTCTCACTTGATCCTAGCAGCGAACCCATACCGACCAATAGGCCGTCTTCTCTATCCGTGCTTGACGTCAGGGCGACGAAGGCTGAGAAGACATCGGGAGCCCCGTTTCCAAAGGCCAGGAAAGTCACACCGGCCACTTCAGGCGGCATGTCCAGCTGTCCAATAAAAAAAATGATACAAAACACGGAAGGGCGAGGGGGTGACGGAGAGAGAGAGAGAGAGAGGGGGAGGGGGGTACTCATAGTCGTGCATGCCGTAGTCGTTAGACCATTGACCTCGCATCCCTACAAAGCCGGGACGGAGCACGCCGGGTTCTCACCGGACCAGGCT